ATATATGTATATGCGGCTAGCATTAACCAAGTTTACTTTATAACATAGTAATCTTTTTTTTTTTTTCAAATATTTTACATTAATATTTTATATAATATTTTGTATTTAATAGTTTTATATTAAACATATTATATATATAGATCATTTGTAAGTAATAATACACACTGCTAAAGCAAATGAAAGCCAAATAGAAAGTCTAAGCTGACTAAACTAAAGAGAGACAGACAGAGACATGGGTAGAGAGAGAGAGCGCTAATGGGAGAGAAACAAAGAAACAGGGGGCGTTAATTGTCAAAATGTATAGGCTAATGTATGTGTGTGTACGTGTAAATATGTTCATGTGTTTGTACATGGATATGTACGTCAATGCACGCGTATCGATTTGTTTGACTAATTTTTTGGCATTGAAATAGTACATTTTTTGTGTTAATCAATTTGCAATGTGACCAAATGCACTCACAAATAACTACAAAATACTAGAAACAATAGGTCACAATGTAAAACAAAAATATAATAAAATAATAAAAATTGAATGTCTGCTGAATAAAATATATATTTTTAATATTCAAATGCCTGCATATGCTGTTGGTAATTTATTTAATTTTTTTATTTTATTTATTTTTTTTTTTTTTTCACAAAGCATTTTCACCTTATTTGTGTCAATTACAAATTAACATATGGACGTTTCACACTTAATGCTAGATATGACACGCACACACACACACATGCATATACACATATGTGCACACACACACGTATAGAAGAAGATCTGATCAAATTTAGTTTATACGCCCCGCTTAGAGCTTGGACAGACAATGAAACGGAACACGATTTGGGAGTAGGCTACCCTATACATATAAAAATGTGCTTTAATGGGTGATAGGCAGAGATTAAAAATATACTTAATTCAACTACAATTATTTACACAATTTATCAGATTTAATTTAAGCTCACAATGCTCAGCAATAATATATAAACATGCATAAAATCAACAGCCCGTTAAATAGAATATTATACATTATGTGAGCGCTTTACGCCGAGGCCAAATCAGGCCAAAGATTAGATAAACAACATCACGCAGAATGAGCCGCCCTTAGGCGTCTGATATGTGTATGTATGTACGTATTTTGACATGGATACAAGTGAAATTAACAATGACGCTTCGCTGACGACAATACATACATATGTATATATGTATGTACATATGTCTGTATGATCAGAAGCATACATGCACGAACGCTCATAGTAACTGTAAACATCAGTGCCTACTCTGATTACTTGTGCATCTCACTTGCGCCCACTGTTGCTCTCCTTCTCTTTCGCATAGAGGCATGGCAACGAGAAGAAACGGTTTAAAAAAGATCTTTGATTTATTCAATCAAAGCGACAACACCGAGCAACTAAGCCTAAGTTACAACATGCTTTGCTGTGGTGAATCTAGCTTATGTGTGCACATCTGTGCGTGTGTGTGTGTGTTTATATGTGCATGGTGTTTATTTCACCACAGCAGAAAAACACTTTGGATTAGTGGGAGTGATATACATAGGTATGTATGTAGATATACATATATGCATAGGAATAGCGTAACATGCTGCTCTTGTTTGAACTCCTCCAACCACCTGCCTTTGCTTAACATAGTGTAGCCAAATCAGATAATATTAGCAGTGGTCCACAATTTCCACTTTTAACGTTGCAACCGTTGCCTCTGCACCGAAACGAAAAACAGAGAGACAGAAGTTCGTTGTTACAGAGAAACCGGTTTAGCAATATACCAATACCAATACAAATGCATTGAAACTTCATACATGTACATATGCGAGCATGTGTGCGTAGATGAGCCGGCATTTGTCACCGGCAGCAAGTGCTATCTCTACCTCTGCCTCTGCTTCGCATGCTCTTTCATTTGAAACCTACACACACACACACGCACACACACACACACACACACACACACACACACACACACATGCATATACTTCTTATAAAACCATGCATATGTTATGTGTTTGCATTTTGCATGCATTTATAACAGTAAAACAACAGCAATCACGCCATAGATAAAAACTGAGCAAAACGGAAAGACAGAGAGAGCAGAAAGAGAGAGAGAGCGCAAAATCTTCCAACTGGAGTAAGTGCCGCCTTTTCTGAACGAGTTTATCGACAACACATTCACCCAACTCAGTGGACAAGAAACAGCAATTGAGAGCGTGAGAGTGAAAAATACTGATGGCTGTCAAGCGGAGGGCAGTCAACAATCGGAAGGCGGTTGGCTGGCAGAGGCGTTTACCGGCTTGCATGAGTGACTCATTCGACCATTTCGTAAGCCAGAAAAGTCAGTGAGCGAACTATAGCGCAACGTTTTCGACTAGTTTTTTTTTTTTTTGTTACCAACAAATTTTAATTAGAAATTGGACAGTGATTCACAGCTAGATAATTATGTCCTAATAAAATTTAAATGCAGTCGAATTTAATGCTCTCATAATACAAATTGATTCATTTGCATTAATAAAAAATATATCGAGATCGATTACTTCAGTAAATACATATACATATATATAATTATTATATTTATTTTGATATGTATTTAGTTCAGGTACACATGAACTGCAACCACGGTGCAATGTATTCTTATAAGAATATGCTAAGCGGCGCTTGGGCGTCTCAACAAGTGGTTTTTCCACACACACATACACACACATATATATGCACACTGAAGACTAGAGAATATCACTATATGCCCCATTCAATGGAATTTGGGGAATATGAATACTCTTACCTTAAACAAGTATAATACGAACACTCACCTGTAAATGCTCTTGAAAGCGTATGGGTAACGGTTGCGTCATCTTGACGGCCTGTTATTTTGGCTCTCTGGTTGGGAGTTACGACTTGTTGTTGTTGTATGCTGTTCTTTGGGTCTCGTTTAATAGTTGGTCTTATTTTCTTTTCTTTCGAGAGAGATAGCACACGCACTTTGTTTTGTTGTTTGATGAGTGTTAGTAAAAAAAAATCGGGAGAGAATGCGAATACTGTTGTCTGCGTCAACGTTAACGTTGACTTTTGTTTAAGTTTTTATTTTTTATTAATTTTTTATTTTGCTGCTTGATCTTGTTTTCTTTTCGGTCGTTCGTTGTTATGGTTGCTGATGTTGTTGTTGGTTTCTTTATTTTGTTTCGTCTCGGTTTAGATTTTTAGCAATTTCGTTTCGCGTTGCTTGTGAAGACACACCAAAAACTGCGCAAAGAAAGAACGAAAAAAAAAATTGTATATTTATTAATTGTGCTACAAGATATTTGCTGCTTTTGTTGCTATCACGAGAAAGTGAGGCTGCAGCGACTCCTCTAAAACACTTTTTAAAAAAACCTCGTAACGTAACGTTCATCCCCCCACACAAACACAAGCACACACACACATATATGTACAAAGAGATACTCGAAAGCACTGCCGAATTTAAGCGAAAAAACGCCTTGTTATATACTAATTTTTATTAGGAATCAATCAAGAAATTTATTTACTATTTGTAGTATTATTCACTTGAATTTCCACATATTACTTGCGCACGACCGTTTGTCGGCAAATACAACAAAATATTAATGAATCGACACCGCCGACAACACTGACAGACGACAGACATAATAACACAAGTACGAGTCAGTGACAGAACGGCCCCTGTGGTGTGTTACAACGAAATACACCACAGCTGCGAGTTGTCGTTTCGTGCGCTAGTATTGGTGCATGACAAAGTCAAATAATGAAATGTCAAAATGCGCGCCGTATGAATGTGACCACATATACACTTATACAGCAAACTTGTATATTCAATACGCCGTTTTACTAAATTATTGATTGTGCCTAAAAAGAACATAAAAGGCAATTACAATATCCCAGTAAGTCCCTCATCTATCTTAACGTGAGGCAGCACCACTGCTTCTTTTATAGCTCACCACACTGTCAGCCATGTTGAGTTGCGCTCCGACACACTTACTCATACACACAACACACTTGCATGTTTGCCCATACACACACACACACACACACACACATACTCACGCAAACGTATTTGTATAAGTACGTGTGAAGTAGTGGAAAAAAAATTTGCTTGCTATGTACATATGTATAAAACACACTTTTTGCATTGATTTTTGCCACGCAGCAATATTAAGAACTTTGATGATGCAGTTTGGCAAACTAAAGAGTTAAAGCCCAAATGTTACGCGCATATAACAAGGCAAGGAATCGCAATTGCTTTGAACACGTATGCCACATAAACAAAAAAAGAATCGTTTTGTTAGCATGAAAAACACCGCCCACTAACACTTTGGTTCAGAAATACAGTTTTCTCTTTGCAAGTGTTGTGCCGCCTGTTCGCCCAATCTCGCATTATCGCATTAGCGCATTATCGTGTAATATAATTTTAATATAATTTCTTGTTTAATGCCAAACTATGTCAAAAAGTGTTTTTTCCCCTATATTTTGTTGCTGCTTTTTCGAAGAAGGCGGAAGCGTACCAGTTTATTGTTGTAGGTTAACAATTGCACGTCTGCACGAACACACGACGATACGATTCACATTTAACATTTAACACATTATTCTTATTCGTTAAAAAATACACGAAAGAGCAAAAATTACATTGAAAAAGAAGTATGAATGAGACGACGTTGGTCACTGCAAGCTAGGGATGTACGACAAATATATATCGATATCAATAAATTGTAGCGATAACCGATTGCTTTCAAAGCCACATGCGATAGACATCGAATAAATAAATATAAGAATATTTAATATTTTATAATTGCAATTGCCAGATTTTATATAGTTTCTTATGTGATACCACAACGATGTGAGGTTTATTTAGGCGCATAATTTAATAAATCTGCTGTTAATTTATTTATCGTGACTAATGTTATTAACAGTATTGCTCCGCAAATTAACAGAACAGGCTCCACAACAATCTGCAAAACTCGGTCTTTAAAAATAACACGAAATATCGGCCATCTCTAAACTCTCCAAGCCGAACAGTGAATGAAGTTGGCGGTGCGCAAAAGTAAATTTTACTCAAACTTTCAATTTATAAACGCATTTTAAGGAAGAACTCCGCATGAAGGCTGTGCACGCGATGTGCATTTGAACAGTTTATAGTTATTGTTATATCCATGTTATTGTTAAAGCAAGCACTGATAGCAATTTTCCACAGCATTCGTTGGATGTTTTAAAAAAAAAAAAACACGCGCGTTGCGCGTCGTATGAAACATATTCAAAAGTTGTTTGCTGCCTATGTGCATGTGTGCGTGTGTGTGTGCTTGTATGTATATTTGTATGTATGTGCGCTGGCTTTATTAAACATTAACATTGCGAAAAATCAATACATAAGTCCCTCAGTGCTTGTGTGCTGTGCACCGTGTGTGGCATTTGTGCAAAAAATTGTGTTAAACAAAAAGGACAATCCAAGGATAACGCCAGCAAGCGGTGCTTGGCGGTAGGGGCCAAGCAACACGCGCCCAACGCATCCAGAACGAGGTAAAAACATTGTCAATACATACATATGCAAGCATGCATGCTGCGTGTCGGTGTCTATGTGTGTGTGTGTGTGCGGATATGTTGATGTAAATATGTGTGTATATACATCCTTGCAACTAAATATAAACAGTCTGCGATGTCGGTGCCATAAATAAATAAATCGCATCAAATAGAAACAAACATTCTTTGAATATAAATATATAATAGAAATATGTATATGTATGCAATATGCATATAGACAGATATGATCGTGTTAAATTTTTGTTTATGTTGTTATTTAATTGATGATGCCTTTGTCTCCACATGAATCGCCAACTTCATTTCAAGCAGCTAAATATGCATAATTTGCGCCTGACGCGACGCTCGGCCCGGCTTTTTATTTATTTAATTTTTTCCTTTTATTTTTTGTGCTGCAGCAGCAACTCTTGTGATTTATTTTGCACACACACACACACACACACATACACACGGATATGCAAAGCCTCAGAGAGAGGGAGAGAGCAAGAGAGGCATTTTACATGTGTTTGTACTTCCTTTAGCTGCTGTGTCTTTGTTGTTGGTGCTTTTGTTTGTTATTTCGGCATGTTCGCACTCCTGTGTGCAAGAGAGACAGCAAAGACACGCTGACTCTCATTTTTGTATTTGCCTGCATTTTGCTCTCCTGCTGAGTTTTTGCATTCACGCTTCTGATTGGACTGTATATGTGTGTGTGCTGTCTTTCGAGCGGCAAAACAGCAAAACGAAGCAACTATTAGTGATATCCCTGCAAGTGCATGAAGCATGTGTCTGTATATACATGTGCATACATAGAATGGATTTTTGTGGTTTTACTAGAATTTACTCAATAAATTTCTTAGCCAAACAATAGTATTATGTTACGAAACCTAACACTAAACATAAATATTTATACAATATATACACATAGCGCTCAAATGGTAAGACCCAAACTTGTTAAAAGACCTTCAAATTTTGTATTTCTATTTTATTTCGTTCATTTTAAAATTAACGTCTGATAACAACAGTTATAAGCTGACTGCTATGGCTGCGATTCAGTGTTAATATATCGATAACATGCAACAACTTCAGGTGTCAGAAAATTTATTTTTGCATTTTCGTCTCTTACTGTGACAGCTTAGTTATTTATTTATTCTTTTCTACTGCTACACACGCCGTCTTAGTAAATGTACTTGGTTCATAAGAACTAGACTTTGGATTTTATATTAATCGAGTTTGGATTGTTATCGCCGTTAAAATGATGTAAAAGCAAATATAAAGAAGCATGTAAACGCTAGCAGGCGCGCGAATTGAATTATTTAAATATGGATGTATGTACATATGTATGTGATAAATTTGTAACAAGTTTTCCACCCCTAATTACTAGAATGTGCTACAACAATTACAAATTCGTTCTTGGTTTTGCTGTTCTTATTTTTTCTGTCAACTTTTGCGCTTTGTTGTTGCTCTTGCGCCTTAAATGCTATTTTTGTGTTACAGTCTCCCTCTGTTGTCTTCTCTGGAGTAGCTTACATACGCACAGCACACTCATAGATATGCATGTAAATACATATATGAATGTGTGTATTTAAGTTTTTTACTGTTTCCTTTTTCTCAAAAATATGCTGATTGTTTTTGTTGTAGTTGCTATTGCCAATTTTGCCTTGGTCTTCCAGAACCAGAGAGCCAGCATGCAGGCACTAAGGGTTTATGTTCGTGCTCTCTGACATCTCGCTCTCTCAAAGAAAAAGGAGTTGTTTTTGGTCTTTGTTTTTTTTCTTGCCTGAGCACAATTTTTGCGCTTGGCCAATTTACAGTTTGCATTGTCAAATTAAACAACAGTCGCAACTGTTATAAAAAAAAAAAACAATTTTCTATTAAATTGATATATACTATAATAGATTAACTACTTAACATGACTATTCCTCCAATCTCAATTGTTTTTAATAGCTCTCTCATCTAAATACTCATTCAATAACAAAGCGCTTGGTCAGACGATTGGTGTTTTTGCTACTCTTTATTTAACATACATATATATACATGTACATCAATACATATATATGTGTATATATGCATCCCTTTTTATCGTCTTTTTTTTTAATAACACTATCCGGCAAATATACATCTGTGTATGGGTAGGATGAGAACCAAACAGGTACAATACCATTGGCACACATATTCTCAAATCAATTTTAAGGAAGTAACGAACTATAACTTCTCTTAGAATTTAAATCTACATTTGTAATTATAAGCACTTTTAAAATTATTACAATTTATGTATTTAAAAGGATAAATGTCATAAGTATTAATTTTTAATGACATTAGATTATGTAATTTGAAACAATTACAAAAAGAATACCTTGTATACATGCATTAAGCATAACTCACATACGATAGCTGTCAACATTTTGAAATTGTTTACATTTTAATGCTAGCTCATACCACTGTGCTGGCTGCCTTAGTCAACTTCCTTCGCTCAATTTCATGCTCACTGCGCCGACTCGCTCTTTCGATTTCTCTCATTCTGTGACTGCGTTTGTGTTTTTTGCATTTGTGTGCGTGTTCCATGCTCCCTTGTTTTTTGTTGTTCCTGCTTTGCTCGCTGCTTCCTTTCTGCCTTTGTATAATTCGAAAATGCTAAAGTAAAGTGCTCAAAATTGCTCTGCTCTGCAGCAGTAGCGGCAGCAGCAGCAGTAGCCGAAGCAGCATATTTTTGCGACTCTCCCTCTTCTTTAACCGCAAAGGCAACGGCAGCAAGCAGCTGCCTGTGTGCTTTCCTGGCTCGCTCCATCGTCTCCATCGTTGTCGTTGCCTTCATCGTCGTCGTCGTCGCGTCGTCGGTTGTTGTTATGCTTGATTTTTATTACTTTACTTTTTCAGTATAATTCTTTGTCTTTTGGCGTTTGTTTAATGCAAAAAAAAAAAAAGACCAAGACAAGAACCAGCAGACACGCACACACACAGACATACATACTTATGGACGCGGACACACACACTAGCGCAAAAACTGAAGATACCAAAAAGGAAGAAGCACAAACTACATTAAGCACAGACACAGGAGTCTGTACAAAATAAAATTTTTGCGCAACGCGCTGTGTCACATTGCAAAAAGGGCGAGAAATTCACATTTAATAATCAAAACTAGCGAAATTCCAACTTAACGTCAATATTAATTATTAATTATTCAACTGTGTGCTGGCAGTGCTAAAGACAATATAAAATACCAAAAACAAAACAAAGAACTAAAAATCAATTTCAAATTAACTTCTTTGATTGTACATTTTTTTTTTTTACAATTTTTCTTTAGTTGCTTTGCTTTGCGGAGCTAAACGCTCTTTGTTTTTTTTTTTATTATTTTTTGTTTTTGTTGAATTTAGTTTTATTATCATTTGGCGCTCGCATGTGGAGCCCAAGTGAGAGGACATATAACAAAAACACCAAAAGAATTTTGGGTAATATTACAAACCTATAGAAAGTTTTTAAATTTAATCTAATCGTCCTTGCTTAGCTCTGGCTACACAGTGTGAATCAAGTGAATGCATTTGAAGTTCATATAAACAATATTATAAAACATATATAAAACAATATTATAAATGTACACATTATGAAATATTCATATTTAAATATTATATTAATTAAATGAACAATAATCAATGGATATTGAAAGTGAATACTTTGAATATTCAATATAAATGAACATGAATACTTTGAATGAACGAAAGAACGCCAGTCAATTATTTTCCTTATTTTAATGTATATTTTAAAATTAAAAATGAATGTTTATCCAATATTGAGTGAATTAAATTAGTCACACTTCAATTCGCTCATTTGGATGAATATCTAATAGGTATTCAAGTATATAAAGGAATTGTCTTTTAATATGATTCGCAAAAGCGTTTGAATACTTTGAGTGGTTCAAATGAATGATTTGGATGCATTTACATGTATTAAAAGAATTGGTGAATCATATTAAATTTCTATAGATCATTGCTAGAGTATTCATTGAATATTGAATACTATTTAATTAGTTTGATTGCAATTTGTTTATATTTTAAAATAATCTTATTTTTGTTTCCTATATATTTGTATCCTTGTAGATCATCAGGCACGAATTGAGCTTCCCTTAGAGCTTCCATTGGCGCTGGAGTTGGTCGGCGATTGTGAATTGAGCGAGTGTTGGGGGCAACACCAGCAACGAAGACAACAGCAGCAATAGCAACAACCACAACAACAACAACAACAACAACAACAACAGCAACAACACGATGTCAGCTGCCACACAAGAGTTTTGCGTGCGTTGGAACAGCCATTTGGGCAGCATTGGAGCGGCCTTTCCGCAACTATTGGCTGGCCAGAGATTCGTGGACGTGACACTGGCCTGCGAGGGCCATCAGGTGCATTGCCATCGGCTGGTGTTGGCCGCATGCTCCACCTACTTTGAGGCCATATTGGCCGAGAATCCGTGCAAGCATCCGGTCATCATATTGCCCAGCGAGATCAAGCTGTGGGAGATTCAGGCCCTGGTCGATTTCATGTACAAGGGCGAGGTGAATGTGACGCAGGCTGGCTTGGGCCAACTGTTGCGCTGTGCCGAGCAGTTGCGTATACGGGGCCTCTATGGCTCCGAGGCGGCCATCAACTACAAGCAGCTGCAGCAGATGCGTCAGGATATGGCGGCGCAAGACTCGGCAACCACAGTCAAGCAGGAGCAACAGCAGCAGCAGCAACAACAACAACAGCAGCAGCAGCAGCAACATATGGACAGCACTGAGACGGATGATACGGCCACCAATTCGACGACATCGACAACAACAACAAGCACAACGGCGCTGTCTGCCAAGCAACAACAACAGCAGCAGCAACAACAACAGCAGCAGCAGCAACAGCAACAATTGCTACTGCAACAGCAGCAACAACTGCAGCAAAAGGAGCATCGTCAGCGCCAGCAGACGAATGGCAACAATACGTTGCAATTGCAGCTCTTACAACAGCAGCAACAGCAGCAGCAACAACAACAATTAAATGCGGGCTCATCAGCGGCCGCATCCAACAATTCGAATGCAGCAACCGAAGATGATTCAGCGGATGATGCGAGCAACAATTGGAACGTCTATAGCGAGAACTATGAAGACTTTGCGAACAACAAGCTGAATGCACATCTGCTGCAGCAGCAACAACAACAGCAGCAGCAGCAGCAACAGCAGCAGCATTTACAATTGCAGCATCATCTGGACTCGACCATCGAGGACGATCACAACTATGTGGCTGCGCATGATGAGGACAACGATAGCAGCGGCTTCATTGGCAATGTGGGCAGCACCAGCGGCCTGGCCAGCAATGTGGCTGGACTGTCGCTGAGCATGGACGCCGATCTGGATACGTCGGCAAATACGTCCGGCTCCTCGCTGATGCACAGCTCCATCGATGGCTATACATCGTATAAGCGTGTGAGACGCTCGGAGGCGTCGCTGGCCCAGGCCGCCAAATGTGTGTCCAAGGGCGAAACCTTTCAGACAGTGAGCAACATGTTCAACATACCCGTCTCCACCATACGCTTCTATATGGCCCGCAAGGGCATCTTGCCGAAGCGCAAGCGTGGCCGAGGCGCCTCACATGCCGGCAGCACCATCACAACGACAACCGGGTCGGGCAACTCACCGGCTGCGGCCGCAGCGGCGGCAGCAGCAGCAGCGGCCACCATGGCGGCGGCCACCACATTGGGCAGCCTGTCGACAGCCGGTGCGCATCATGTGCCCCATCATTTGCCCCTGGATGCCATACAATTGAAACGTCTGACTAATGCCAGCGGCGGAGGTAGTGGCGGCGGCGGCGGTGGAGCCGGCAGTCCGACAACGGCAACGGGCACAGCGGCAACAGCAACAGCGGCGGCGGCAGCAATGGCAGCAGCAGCAGCTGCTGCTACGTCATCGCCCACAGCACAGCGACTGGAGGTGGCAACAGCGGCCGGAGTGCCCTTTCATCTGCTCAGCGATGCGGCAGCCTTCAAGCTGAGCGAACAGCAACAGCAGGCGCATATAATCTAACCATGAGGTTGGCTTCGCTTGCACTCAATCTATATGTGAGGCGTGAGAGGCGTGAGAGGCGTGAGAGGCGTGAGAGGCGTGTGAGGCGTGTGAGAGTGAGCCGAGCTCTGTGGGACAATCGAAAGCTATTGCGGAATGGGGCCGAGATGCAGCTACTCATTGGCTAAGATAACACGCGTATATACGTACACATATATATATATATATATATATATATATATATATATATATATACATACACCTGCATAAATCTGCACACACACAAACACACACGCTCACACACACTCATGCGTAGTCGCTTTAAAAGCAATTCTCAACCTTTAAACACAACTGTTCCTCGAGGAAGAAAGTAGAAAGTAAAGAAGAAATGCTGACATGCAATAGTTGAGATACAGTTAAAATATATATATATATATATATACATATATAAGTGTATATATATATATAGACATGTCTCTATTTGTACCATACAAAGCATACGCATATAGATCTAACGTATGTTTTGTATCTTTGGCAAAACACCTCTAACCCGCCCCTAATTGTATGTATCGCTTATAAGATTTAAGGTTAAGTTTTTACATTGTAATATAGTGACATGACATTGTTTTCTTTCATGCCGGCGATAAGTTTCACACAAACAACAACAACAACAACAACAGCAACAACTAACCCCAGTCCAAACCAACTCAAACAACCAACAACAACAACAAACACATTACATTTTGTGCAGTTAACAGACAGTACAATAATAATTAATAAATATGATAATTATAGAAAAAATCAAGCCAGTTGCCTGCATATATATATAGATATATATAACATTACACATAAACTGGGCACAAATAGAATGGTGTTTTTTTTTTTTTTTTTTTAAATTATATATACATATATTTGTTTTCAATAGTCATAAATGTAAACTGTATAAAGTCAACAAGAAGAAGAACAACAACAAAACACACACACGAATTCATTTAATAACAACAGCAACAACAACAACAACAACAACAACAATCACTAGCGCTTAAGACAGCAATTTAGCTGAGAGAGAGAGACAACAACAAGCAACACAAAACCAACATTAAGTAAACATTTGATATACTTTATAAGCGAAGCAACAACATTGATATATAGTATATATAAATATATATATATATGTATACTCAATATGCCATTTCATGATATCAGATTTAGTATGTTTCGCAATCTGCTTTGTAATTCATAAGTTTCGTATAAAGACTTGAATTATAATTCTGATTATATTATTAATATTATTATTATTATTATTGTAATTATTCGTAGCTAACTGAAACGATCAACGATATTGTTTCGCGTTGTGCATTTAAGCTGTGTAAAGACTTGCAAAAGACTTTTTTCTACATCGATTTAAGTTGCTTTAATATCCCCAAAACTTAAGACTTGTATAACTATTTTTTTTTGTATTTTAATTTTTTGTTTTTTTGTTTTTTTTTTTTTTTTTTTACCGACATGCAAAAGACGTTTATATAATCGATTAATATATGTATATTGATATATAACTATATATATATATTGCTGCGTTCATAAAAATATTAGTGTGACTAAACACTAAAATGTTGAATAAAAAAAAAAAAAAAAAAATTAACTTAATTTATAACAATAATGAAGACATATTGTTTTTCATTTAGTTGTTGATATTAAGTTTATAAGTTTTATTTTTATTTTTTTTATTTAACATTTACTGCTCACTCACACTAATCTTTTAATAAACGCAACTGTATATATATACTTAAAAAAAAAAATATATATATATATATATATATATTCCTGATTTCGGCAGCATTATATAATTTTATACAATTTATACAACTCAAGCACGGTCTCTCTTAAATGTTTGCCATATTCGTAATTTTACATGTATTTAATTAATATCATTATTATTATTATTATACAATTTTTTATACACACCTTTTTATTTACCAATCAAATGCAATTTCAAGACTATATTTTTTCGCCTATGATAAATTGATTATTTTTAGCATATTTTGAAAAGTTCGTTACTTTTGGTTAACAAAATTTAACTGCAGTTTCGAATTCGATATCGAATTTCGTGATGATCTCTGAAAAGTCGTATATATATATATATATATATTTCGAAATGAGCAAACTATAACGATATATTAATTTGAAAAAAAAAAAAAAAAAAACAAATACCTCGTATACATTGAGCATAAATAAATAATAGTAAGCCAGAGCAAGTGCACAGCATTAAAAATATATTAAAAAAAAAAAAAAAAGCAAAGCAAAATAATAGAAAACAGATAAGAAAAACAATAAACAAAAGCGAATAACGCTTATTTTACACATGAAAAATAAAAAAAAAAAAAAAAAAACAAATCAGCTGCAATTAAAACAAAATTAATTGTAGTTGTAAATAAACCGAATGTTGTTACAATAGTCAAAGAAAACAAAGTAAAACAAGAAAATTTATAAATAAAAGTAAGCCCATAGCAAGCAAATATATATCTATATATATATTTTTTTTAACAATCAATTGTAAAATATTCAAAAAAAAAAAAAATATTAAAAGTTGTGCTGCGGCTTTTGCTATTCAAGAACTGTATCTATTTTTATTAAAAAACAAAAAAACGAAAGCAAAGAAAAACAAAACTATTTTGTTTTGGCTGCGTTAAGATCTACTGAAAAAAAAAAAAAAAAAAACGAAAATAGAAAATAATTTAAAGTATAAAAGTTGCGGGACTTTAGCACCCAAACATATTCAAATCAAATGCAAGTATTATGTATCAAACACAAACAAAATTAAGAATATAAAATTGCAAAAGAATATATATGTATGTATAAAAATATATATATATGTATATATTAAGTACATATATAGAATGTATAACTAAAGAAGAGATAATTATTAAACCCGATAAGCGATAAGCGAGCGTGAATTATGTTTAAACGCGAGACAAAAACAAAAACAAAAAACAACAACAGTTAAATTTATGTATAAATTATAAAATGCGAACAGTAAAAACAGATGCTGAGATGCAGATGGTATTTTAAATAAAAATTGCAAAAATGAAATGCCGAAAACGCCTATTGAACTTAACGGTAATTAACGGGTTCCATTGAAATGCTGGCCAAGATCTCGGGTAAGTCATTGCAATAGCTTTCTGAAGATGCCTAAGAATTTAGGTATTGTAGATCGGTTTTACTGTAGCATTAGCAGATCAGATTCAGCTTTCCAATAGATCGATAACAGGCAATCGATTACAAATATTATTGTTAATCCTTCACTGAAATGGGTCATTCAGATTCAAGCCTAGTCCTTTCACTAGGTTTCTATAGAGTTGTACCAGGTTTTTAAGAGTTAGTCTTGTTTGGAATTTCCCTTGCTTAAGTATATTCCATTTGTGTTTTACATCTATTTCACATATACTCATGAGAAACGCTATAGCAGAGGAGAATCTGAAGATAGCCAAAATATGAATTGGTTGTTGATAGAAACAAGTTTGATGGGGATTACTATGTAGGGCAGATCAAGAATATATATACTTTATAGACTCTGTCACACCTCTATTTGCCTGTTACATAGATTTCCGCAAAAAAATTCCAATTTCCAGGGTATATACATATAAGAACAATACTAAGATCCGAGTAACTCTTGGAACAGACCTCGCCTTTCGTAGTTAAATCAAATTTTATAGTATACTTATCCCATACACATAATTTTCACGAATTACCCAATGCAAAAATGAAGACAATTGGCAAGGAATTTGTTTAAAAGTGTTTGTTTTATTACATAGATATCATTCGCTTTGTGAACACATACCTCGTACATAGATAGTTATGAGTTGTATGCGTTCATGTAAGGTTAAGGTTAGCCCTTAAATTGTTGTTTAGAATTTTACGAATATGTTGTTCAGACCATCTCTATAATTAGGGCTAAGGGGTATGGGCGGGTATTGTATATATTTTAGGGGGTAGGTAGGCTTGGGCAGGGGCTAAAGAACAGGGGGAGGGCATGGCCTTATCAAGGAAGTGGTAGTGCATGTGTGTGTGTTGCTTAATATATATAAGATAAATTGGTTACAATATATTTTATTTTACTTTATTTTTGTTTTTGCTGCATGTGTCGAACGCGAATTCGAATTTCGAATTTCGCACTTCGAATTACATTAATTAATTAAACACATGCATTTACATATGCATTAAGTGTTGAATTCATAAGTTGTATATATGTATGTATGTATGCATATATGTATGTATATATATTTGAATATATATAAATTCATGTACATATAAGTATATGAATATATATAATTATTAATATTATAATTTTTGAATGTGTGTGCATTGTTTGTTGGGTTTACTTAAGCTCTAAACATTTCATTTAAATAAGTAAATTGTTATTTATTTTTAAATGTTTTCAATTTTTTTCTTTTCTTTTCATTTTTTTTATTTAACTTTTTTTTTGTCCACTGCGTACATTGATTTCCAGCGTGTTGCATGAACACGATTAAATTTCTCATTTGTTTTCTTTGCTGTGTTTATTTGTTTTTAAATCTTAAAATCATACACATTGCATGTATGTATGTATGTATGCATGGATGCGTGTATATGTTTGCATGTATGTATGCATCTGTATATGTATGTCTAAATGCACGCTCGTTCGAAATGGCTAAGAATCTGCATTTGCTTACACAAATTGTATTTGTATTGTTTCCATTCATTTGGTTTTGGTTTTTGTTTTTACATGTTTTCTTTTCTTTGCTTACACAACAAATATTTAGTTATATATGTATATAAAAAAAAAAGAAAATTATTTACGAAAATTTTCTCATGTGTTAATCCGCATTCAAATGAAACAAATGTGATTAGAAGTGTTGTATGTGTATGTGTGTGTGTGTGTGTGTGTATGTGTGTGCAAGTTTTTTCTTTTTTAAACTAGTTTGTATAAATTGTTGGCTTGCTTTTGAATATTATAATATTTAGTTAGTTCATATTTCGAAGTTTCTCATTGTTGAAAGTTCACTTTTTGTTGTTGGCGAAATACAATCATGACAATAATAATTAACTCTTGTATATCGATTATCGTCGTCAAGTGTCATCGTCAAATGTCATTGCCGATACAAATTATATATATATATATGTGTGTGTGTATGCGTTCACACATGCATACATATGTATGTATGTACTTATGTTATATTGTTACGAGCAATGTTAACATTTAACGTATGTATCTACGTATTTCTACACATTCCTCTTTTTGTTATTATTTTGTAACTGTATCACAATGGGTTTTCTCTTCTCTTTCATGTCGCGTTCTCAACTTCATTCATTCTTGCAATTTTTTTTTTATTTTTCCGTTTTTTTTTTTTGGTTTTTTTGTTTTTGTTTTTAAATACATTTTTTCATTTGTTTTCCTATTCCCTTTTCATGCTTCAGTTCATACCATTTTAGCTATATTGAGGCCAAAATTTGAAAAAAATTTCAAAGTTTCAAAATTTTCTTTTCTTATCACTTACAATGCTGCTTTAGTTTTTTATTTTTTATTTTCAATTTGTTGCTGAATTCATGTGTAAAATTGTTTTTTGCTGCATTTAACTTTGGCCCTTAACAGTAGTTTGTTTCTGTGTGTGTGTGTGTGTGTTTGTGTTGATCTGTTTCAAAGTATACATGTGTGAGTGTGAGTGTGTGTGTGTGCATTTTGGCAATTGTGCGCTGTCGAATTGTTTTTGCTTTATTTAGCTTTGTTTAAATGCATTTTCCACTTACGTCATAACCAGCGGCTGGCTT